TCTTCGGCCGGCTGGCCAGCTTGGAGCTTGTAGTGGCTAGTTAGCTAGCCTAATATATACATGCATACTGAGAAAAGCTAGCTGCCATTAGCATAAATCCTTTTGCGATCACTTGCTTGTTATTTGTGGCGGCCGGCTGCAGTGATGAGTATTAGTATTTTGGCAATGTCCAAATAAAACGTCGTCATCACTTGTTACTTTTGGCTGTGCGTGCAGTGAGTGTGTGTATATATATTACTAGTACTAGTATATTTGGCAACGCAGGAAGCAGATCCCTGCTTTGTTTGCAAACTACAGTATTTGCTTTGTGATTATATATGTTTATATGAATGTGAATCCAATGCATATGCATATGTGGTTATCGGTCATCGTGCCGTACGTTTTTTTTGCAGGTTTTAGAAACCTCACCGTGTAGGGGAGGTTCTGTCAAAATTTTCAATTAAGCCTGTATGTTCTTTTTTTGCAGAGATCAGCCCGTGTAGAACAAAGATGCCAGGCGGCGGGGGTCTCTTAAGGAGTTTAAGGAATGTAAAGTCGAAATACAAGAGGGTGGAGGAGGTAGCTCCTCCGCCACCGCCAAGGAAACGCAGTGGTCGTCAGGCTCCCTCCGCCACAGAGGCAGGAGGAGGAGGTGGAGTCCTCCGAGGAGGAGGCGGTGCCCAAGGAGCACGAGGAGGAGGACGTGCCCGAGGAGCACGAGGAGACGGTGGAGGACGAGGAGGAGGTGGAGGAGGAGGAGGAGGAGGAGCACGAGGACGAGGACAACGAGGATGAGGAGGCGGCGGGGGTTCCTCTTCCTATGGTGCGGCGGCAGGGGGCTCCTCTTCCTCTGGCACGGCTAAACTCTATCAGCGAGGTCCCTCGCAACTCCCGAAGCGACCGATACCTCTTGAAAGACGCTCAATGGTTCGACCCGGTGGTTTAAAGTAAGTAACTTTACATGCTGTCACTATTTTCTCATTTGTTATGTTGAAACTAATAATTTTTCTTGATCACTTGGGCAGGGGTTTCGTGATTGTGGGTGCAGGTGGTCACGGACGCCATCCCAATGGCGTTCTTGGTGTTTTGTGCAAGACACACTTCCCTGGCTTTGTTGACTTTGCCGGAGTGCGGCAGCCGGCCTGGACATTTGCCCACTACGCCGTCTGCGCAGATGCATATGATCGGGATGGCAGGATCTACGGCCACAAGGCAGAGCGGGTGATTACGGAGCTGTGGGTAAGTCTTCGTCTCACTACACTGCTCAATTCATCGCATTCATTGGATATTCTTCAAATAATGATAGGATACATTGCGTCTACATACAGGATTTCTTCAGATGTGAGCCGGGATGGGAGGTGGCAGCGAGGGCGGTGGCTAACAAAGCTTGTCACAAACTCGTGGGTGACATGCACTACGAGGCGCGCCTCCAGGCCGTCGTGACATACAACGCGACCTTCGAGTTTAGGAAGGTCACGAAAAAAGAGGCAAGAAAGGAGACGCTGACCAAGGAACAATACATGAAGGTAAATATATAAGATTAATACTGATTTTTTCTAAGATTAAATAAGCTTAATTTGATCTACATATACTTGATGTCGTGTAGGTGGTTCCGTGGTGGTGCACTGGGCACGAAGACTGCTGGGAGGCAATGGTGGACAAGTGGTGCAGCCCCGAGTGGTGGGAGACGCACAACGCTTGCCGGGAGCGGCGTTTGATGATGCCTGGTGCACCACACCATCAAGGCAACCTTTGCCTCCCGGCCTACACAGCTAAATGGGTACGCTGAATCCATTTCTTTATTCTAAAGCTCAACTATGCAAATTTCTAATCATCCTGCTGTTTCTTTCGCAGTCGGCGTCACATGGTGGCGCGCCCGTCTCCCAGTTCGAGGCGTGGGCAATGGCCCACAAGGGCAAGGCGACGTCCGACGTCCACTACAACCCGGAGGACCCGCCCGAGGCGTACAGCAACTCATCCGTCCACACCCGCCTCACTGAGTACACAGCGATGGCAAGGGAGGTCCATGGGCCAGAGTACGATCCCACCTCCGAGGACCTTGATGGAGAAGTCGTCATTAGGTTGGGAGGAGGGAAGAAGCACGGGCGGTACTGGATTGGCGACGGCGCAATCGACCCGGCCCGTACTAGGTCTCTCTCCTAGATTCGAGCAAGGAGCACGAGCTCGAGCCCGGCCATACGCACACGGCCGGACTGTACACAGCACACGGTGCAGGCACTCAAGGTTATTTCTGTTTTATTCGTCGTTCATTGATTTTTACATACCTTTGCTTTGCGTTGTATCATTGGGGTGAAATATTGTAGGCCGAGGTGGCGGAAGAGAGGAGGCGACGGGAGGAGGCTGAGGCGAGGGCTGAGGAGGATCGACGGAGGATGGAGCAGATGTTTCAGTATATTCAAGGTCTTGGAGCTCACTCAGGCTATGTTCCACCACCGATGATATTCACTCCACCAAATGATCCTGGTGTCACTCCTGTGAGTTTCTCTACCTTAAATCTAAATGTGAATGTGGATATGGATATATGACCCTAATATGTGAGATGACCTTAGTCAAATTCAAATGAACACACACAGCACGTAGTTAGGTACTTCGTTCGATACAGCGGGCAAGCGGCATCTGCCTGAGAAAACACAAAACCGGATTCAAACGGCTGCTGCCGAACCAAGCTAGGTCCAGCATAGCCTTTTAGCCTGTGGAAGAGAAGGCAATATGTACATGGTGGATAACAGGAGCATTTGATGAAAAGTGTGCCCCAAAGCTACAAAATGACACCTGTTTGCAAAGCAAACACAACCCCCTAAAATAAGTGAACCGAGGGTATAACTCCACAATAAGAACCAAATTGTGACATACATTTTACAAAAAGCCTGTAATTCAAATGGATACCTCTTCTAACTTCTCACGCACGGAGAAGAAAATCAATTCCACTGAAAGCATAGATACAACAATGAGCATTTCTTCCAAGCACTTGAATTTGCTTGATACAATTAATGCCTTGGAGTACATTGGATCCAAAGGCAGCCTAGCCATCTGATGACCAACTGGATCTGAGAGCTTATAATCATCAGTCAGAGCCCCTAGTAAGATTAACTGCTTCAGTGATTTCAGAATAGCAGTCCTGTAGTAGGTTGGAGTTTGGACGCCAACAAGCAAAAACTCAGCACTGATATAAACCAAATAAAAATGATTCCGCGCATTTTTCTTTTATGTAGAAGCAGTCTTAAAAAATTACCTTGATGGTTTCTCCATAAAATCGAAACCTATGATGTCATCAATTCCAAGAGCCTTGAGTTGCAGAACAACATTTGAGAGGTTACACCGCTTGATCTCAGGCACAGTAGAATCCACCAGTTTATCAAACTCACTTTCTTGGATAGATTTAGGATGTTAGAAAAGGAATGCAAATAAAAAGGGACAAGTATTCATTTATTTGGTTGAATATCTGCATAGTGACCATATGCCTTATTAGCAGAACATGTAAATAGGTGGTCAGCCTGATATTGTCCCCCCCCCCCCTATATATAGAACCTACCTTAAATCTTGTCTCACACATGCAATCACTTCTCTTTTGTGCAGGGGCAATCGGCGGCGGCGAATGATGTTCATGGCACACCTCCAGCTCAGGGCACACCTCCGGGCACACCTCCGTCGCAGTGGGACCGGTGGAGTGGCCGTCAACAATAGAGGTAGATGGACTTGTGCTTGTGATGCTTATTTGTGAATGGTGGCACTTGTGGCGGCACTTGGATAATATTTGTGGACTATGTGATACTTGTGGACAACTTGTGATGATATTTGTGGACTATGTGATACTTGTGGACTACTTGTGATGATATTTGTCATGGTTATGGATTATATGTGATGGTTGTGTGATATATGTGATGGTTGTGTGATATGTGATATATATGTGATGATTGTGTGATATATGTATGTGTGGATGCAATAAACAAAAAAATGCAAAAAAAAAGCAAATTTCCCAGCTATGCCGAGTGCAATGACCAAGACACTCGGCAAAGGCAGGGAGGCTTTTCCGAGTGTCACAAGTAAGGCACTCGGTAAAGCCTCCCTGCCTTTGCCGAGTGTCACCAGTAAGGCACTCGGCAAATCCTCCCTTCCTTTGCCGAGTGTCACAAGTAAGACACTCGGCAAAGACATTAACAAGTAAGACACTCGGCAAAGCCTCAATGTCTTTGCAGAGTGTCACACTCGGCAAAGAGGGCGGGCTTTGCCGAGTGCCCCCCGTGAGGCGCTCGGCAAAGCGACCGTCACCGTCAATAGGCGCCGTCAGGCAACTTTTCTTTGCCGAGTGTTTTACCGGCACTCGGTAAAGCCTTTGCCGAGTGCCCGACAAAAGACACTCGGCAAAGAGGCATTTGCCGTCACCGGCTTTGCCGAGTGATCTTTGCCGAGAGTTACACTCGGCAAGGCTTTGTCGAGTGTATATGAGGATTTACCGAGTGTCACAGGCACTCGGCAAAGAGCCTGAGTCCGGTAGTGAATAAAGCTTTTCTTCTTCTTCAATAATGTGTGTTGAGGGCTATTTTGTAGAACTGTGTTGGCGGCCTGCATGTACATGCACATGACGCTGCATGTTTGGTGTTTACACGATTCACCCTCATCGTCGCAATGTGTCATCCGGACCATTATTCACAGCGCAGCTCGATCGATACCCATCAATTTAGCACAGCTTGTTTAAACTTTTATTTCACGTAGTATACAAACGTACACATGCTTGTATGCATGTAGTAATATAAGACAACAACGTACAATTATTTGCGAGGTACAAGCTCGCTACCCATATGATCGATAGATCATCACTCTCAGAAAAATAATGAAAAAAGAAAGAAAGGACATACTACTACACATGCACAAAGCTACGGAGAGGGGTATGTGTAACCCATGCATGCTGATTATGCAGAGCAACAACGAACACACACACATATATATAGCATGAGCTAGCGATCAAAGCAAATCATCATGATGCATGCATTTTAATTAAATTAAACGGGGCAGGTGAAGTCCGCAGGGCAGATCTTGCCGCAGTTGTTGAGGAGGAGACTGAGGTCGACGGGCACGTTGAGGTTGATGCCCAGGATGTTGGCCTTGATGGCGGTGCAGAGGCAGACGGCGGCGTCCAGGTCGACGAGGCCCTCCAGCAGCGGACAGCACTGATCGTTCTTCGGGGGGATGTTGAGCTTCAGTAGGTTCAGCACGTTGGCACACACCTCCAGCTTCAGAGCGTTGATCGGGCACGACCCGCCGCCGCCACCAGACGGCGGCGGCGGCACCACCGGCGGAGTAGGACAGTACGGCGTGCAGCCATGCACCAGGGCCAGGGCAGTGGAGAGGACGGTCAGGGCGAGGAACAGGGAAACAAGCTGCTTGGACGCCATTGCTACCGATCAGATAGCTATAGCTATAGCTCTTCAGGGGATTAAGTGTCTTCTGATCGAGCTGCTGCTAACTACCTAGTAGGTTCTCGCAAGTGTGTGTTTGGGATGGTTCTCTTCGGTGGTATTTATAGACCAAATGAGCGAGCAAGTGTGTGTGCGTGCCGTGTGAACATGCATGTGTGTATTTTGATAAGGGAGCAAGTGTGTGTGCGTGCGTAATGTGTGATGCCAACCCTACATACGTGTCGGCCTGGCTCACTACCGGGATCCTCAAATTTGTCGAGTGTTTTTGTGTTTGCCGAGTGTATTTCCTCGGGCACTCGGCAAACAAGTTCTTTGTCGAATGCTGCGCTAAAAACACTCGGCAAAGAGGAGGTTTGCCAAGTGTAAAAAAAACACTCGGCAAAGAGGGGGTTTGCCGAGTGTTTTTTTTTCACTCGGCAAAGAAGTAAAATCTTTTTTCTGGGAAAGAAAAAGAAGAAAAAAAATGAAAAAAAAACTTTGCCGAGTGTCTAGATCTAGGATACTCGGCAAAGAAGTAAAATCTTTTTTCCGGGAAAGAAGAAGAAGAAAAAAATGAAAAAAAAAACTTAGCCGAGTGCCCAGATCTAGGACACTCGGCAAAGAAGTAAAATCTTTTTTCTGGGAAAGAAGAAGAAGAAAAAAAATAAAAAAAAACTTTGCCGAGTGCCCAAATCTAGGACACTCGGCAAAGAAGTAAAATCTTTTTTCCCGGCTGCACCGCCCCGCCTCCCTCCTCCTTTCCCACACCTCCCTCCTCGGCACCTCCCTCCTCCTTTCCCGCACCCGCACCACCCAGCAAGCTCCTCCCCCACCGAGCCGCCTCCCGCCGCCACCAAGCCCGCCACGCCACCACTCCCGAGCCCGTCCTACTCCCTCCTCCCCCATCGGCGGCCGTGTCGCTCCTCCCTCGAGCTGCTCCACGGGCGGAGGTGACCCCCCGGCGGCCAGAGCGCCCTTCTTACCCAACGTGCTCCATCGGCGCTCGCTCCTTGTGGGGGGTACGACCCCGAAAACCCAAGGCAGACCACATGGGCTGCGCCCCCAGGGGTGGCCCAGCCCACAAGATGAAACCTTGCGGGGCACGATTCTGCTCGACGCCTACCGCAAGACATAAGGAAGATATCCTAAAGATACTATGTGATCTGTTAGGATACGCACGATCCCATGATTCTTGTATTCTGTTATTACTTTCCAGTTATCTCTCAGATCTAACCGACTTGTAACCCTACCCCCCGGACTATATAAGGCGGGCAGGGACCTCCTCCAAAATCATGGCATATCATACGATAGCTAATACAAACCAACAGACCACAGGAGTAAGGTATTACGTCATACAGACGGCCTGAACCTGTATAACTCGTGTGTCTTTGTTGCCTTCTTGTTCTAGATCACGCGCTCCTCTTCCGATCATTCTACCTTCGTGGGATACCCCTTGGAGGACTGCCGACGATATTCTGTCGACAATTGGCGCGCCAGGTAGGGGTGTGTGTGCTGTTTCCTTGTCGAACAAGATGGTTTTTTCCGCAGGCTCTTCGTCCCTCCCGCAGCCCGGCCAGATCTTCACGGTTGGATCCATCTCGTGGGTCGTCAACGCTAACGGAGTCAGAGAGCTCCTTGAGCCAGTATAGATTCGTTCTATGCCGACCACCTTCGCACCGGGAACTACAGATCCGATCTCGGGTCCACTTCCGAGGTCGCCTTCGTCGATGACTCGCCGCTCGCTTCCTCGTTACCAGGGGAGGCACATCAACAATGACGATCTGATCGAATCCATCGATCGGGTCGGCCTGAAGCTCGCCGATTGCCTTTCTATCGCTGAGTCAGCTCTGGACACCCTCCCCCAGCGCCGACCACCTTCCGATCCGGATCTATCGGAAGCAGCTCGGCAAGCTCCGGGGGCCACAGCCCTGCCCTTTGGGCTCGCCAACGCCGCCGCTACATACCAAGATGCCATGAGGGGCAAATTCGCCAACCAGATCGCCAACCGGCTCCCGCCGACCGTCAACATGCTGCACGCCAGCCAAGGTCCCGGAGCGTCCCTCCAAACCATCCTGGAGGAAAATCCGGACTCCGAATCCTAGGGCTCCACGGAGACCCTCGCTGAGACCTTAACCGAGCAGCCCCCTCTCCCGCCTTTCCGGGGTGGCGCAATCTTTAACGTCAGCATCGACAGCCCCCTCGGAACGGCGAAACCGATGAGGAACGTGCCGCTCGTGAAAACAGGAACATCAACCGCATGCAATGCCGTGATAACGAGCGCGCCCTTGCGATGGCTGAGGCCGCTCGTGACAACCAATTCGACTCGCAAGGAAGGCCGCTCCATCGTAACCTCGACGAAGAGTTTCTCCGCGTTGACGGCCACGACGTCTTCAAAACTCCCAGCGCCAATCTGGCGGTAGCCGCCAATGAGCTCGCCCACCTCCCGCAGACGCCCGAGCTCGCCAAGTTCGCCACTATGCTTAAAGCGGCACACTGTTAGGTTAATGAGATCCGAGAGGATCAGAGACCTTCGTGCTCCACGAGCACTGTCCGCTGATCAGCTGTGCCTAGATCTAATCACCGCCCCAGTCAAAGCCGGTTCGCCGACCAGTCACTACCTCTCCAGGGGGGAGTTGGGGGCCACCGCGCCGAGCATCATCGCCAGCATGATCAAGAGGTCGAACAAGACGCTCAAGTGCACCTCAGTAACCTCAGGGATGCGCGACGACGTATCGAGCAACATCATTTCGGTCACCATGAAGATGAAGTACGCCGCCGCCAAGAGTACGAGCAAGAGTACGGTAACCCGGACTCAGCTTTGGAGCCGATCGCCGCTGGCAACACCACAGGTGATGGAGCCGACAACCCCGAAGGACCTCTAGCGTTCACCAGGGCACTCTGAACACTCCAGTGGCCACGTGGTTTTAAAATCACGGGGGTCGAGCCCTATGAAGGAAGGATGAACCCAACCCAGTGGCTGTAGGCTTACACCACTGCTGTCCGCGCCGCTGAAGGTGACACCAACGTCATGGCAAACTACCTCCCCGTCATGCTTACGCCGGCCACCATGAGTTGGTTCACAAGCCTTGCCCCGGACTCCATCGGATCTTGGGAAGAGCTGAAGAAAGTCTTCACCGACAACTACATGGCTACGTGTACGCGGCCAGGCACCAAGCACGATTTTAACCGCATCACCCAAAAGCCATTCGAGCTCCTCCGCAGCTACATCCGACGCTTCTCCAAGATGAGGAATTCTTTCCCCAATATCACGGAAGCTGAGGTCATCACCGCCTTCGTTCAAGGGCTTCACCATCATGAGCTTTGGTCCAAGTTTAACCGCAAGCCACCCACAGGCATCGGCGAGATGATCACGGCCGCCAACTAGTATGCCGACACTGAGGAAGCGAAGGTGCGTTTCAACGAAGATACGGGCGCAAATCGGCCACCTCACCGATACGACGACCGCGCCGACAACAGATGCCACAACGACCACCGCTACAACGACCGCGGCTTTTACCGGGACAGTGGTCGTGATCGGCCAGAAGGATCCAAGCCCGGTCAGAATCGCCGCCGCCGGCCAGACCACTTCGTCGCTGCCATCAATGAGCCTCGCGCCAAGCGCAACTACGACGAGCAGTACAAGAAGATCCTCGACGGCCCGTGCCCCCTCCACAAGAACGCCAAACACAAGATGAAAGATTGCCTCGGCCTGGCCAAGGAATTCCAGGACAAGAAGCTGGACGACGACGCCAATGGCGGGAACGGAGGCCGCCGACCACCTGGGGGCAATAACAATGCCTTCTAGGACCATGACAAGGTGGTCACCACCATCTTCGGGGGCCTCACCTCCACCAAGAGCAGAAGAGAACGGAAGCTCGCCGCCCGACGAGTGCTCGCGTCGCATCAGAGGAAACCACCGCCAACCCCAGCTATTGCTCATGGTCCGAGCTCCCCATCACCTTCAGCAGGGCTGACCAGTGGGTGGACATACCCTACATAGGGCATTTTCCCCTCGTCCTCGATGCAACTGTCCAGAAGGTACTCTTCAGAAAAGTCCTCGTCGATGGTGGAAGCGCTTTGAATCTACTCTTCGCCAGGGCCCTAAGGGAGTTGGGCCTCGGGACAACAGATCTCACGCCCTCGGACTCTTCCTTCTGGGGCGTGGTACCTGGCAGGGCATCCAGACCACTCGGAGAGATTACCCTACCAGTACAGTTCGGCACGGTAAGCAACTACCACGTCGAGCATATTAACTTCTACATCGCTGACTTTGACATCGCCAATCACGCCATACTTGGTCGTCCGGCTCTAGCCAATATCATGGTCGTACCACACTACGCGTATCTGGTGTTAAAGATGCCTTCGCCTGCAGGAGTCCTGTCTCTGCGGGCCAACCTCTCCGTCGCCTACGCTTGCGAGACAGAGAGTCTTGCTCTCGCCAAAGCCATCGACCTCTCCATCCAGATGGCTAGCGTGGTCGCCGAAGCCAAGATAGCGTCCACCGACGACATGGAGATCCCAGAGCTGGAGCTTCCTCGCGCCTCCGCCAAGTCTAAGGAAGTCAAGGAGGTCGATCTCGGCCTCGACGACCCCTCCAAGACCGTGAAGATTGGGGCTCACCTCGACCCCAAATAGGAAAGCACGCTCGTCTCCTTCCTACATGCCAACGCCGACGTGTTTGCTTGGAAACCTGCAGACATGTCGGGGGTACCACGGGAGAAGATCGGGCACTCCTTGAATGTCTCGCCGACCGCCAAACTGATCAAGCAAAAACTTCGCCGATTCATGCCAGACAAGAAGGAGGCTATTAGGGTAGAAATAAAACGACTCTTAGCTACCGGATTTATAAAAGAAGTGTATCATCCAGATTGGTTAGCAAACCCTGTTCTCGTTCGAAAAAAGAATAAAGAATGGAGAATGTGTGTTGATTATACTGATCTTAACAAACACTGCCCTAAAGACCCCTTTGGCTTGCCTCGGATAGACAAGGTCGTAGA